AGGAGGTAATAGAAATTTGGCCAAAATTGTAATATCAAGCTCATTAATTACATGGTGGACATAATCCGAAGGAGGAACTGTCAGCTTGCTCTCCAAATTAGAGGTTAAGTGTTCTGGATGAAACTCAACAAAACCCACAAGACATTGTATTCCTAAAGACGCTCAGAGCATCTGTTTGCAGGAGGCCTGGGCTCCAACTCTAGCAGACATTGGAGTTCAGCGAGAGCCAGGATTTGAGAGCTGCTGCTTCACAGATCCCCTTTTCAGTGCCAAGTTCCAGCTCCAAGCCTTCCCTAAGCCTGCTGCATGCCATCTTTGGCCTCTGTGCTGTAGATCACTGTTCCCCATTTGAAATAAACTATCAGTCAGGCCCCAGGTATACTTACAGAGGACTGCAAAAAAAAAAAAGGCTTAGCCATATACTGAAGTTGTTCATGAAGTGCGGGTCTTGCCTGCTGTGTGAAGGCAGTGCGTACTGCAAAAGGCCATGTGGCAGTGTGGGTTGACTTTGCAATAATCCTTTCTTCCCTGCCTCCACTCTTTCTCCCCATGTATTATTTATTCCTGTTTGAGTATTTGAAAAAGCTTGCAGTATGCTATTGGAACCACCCCCTTTCCTCTGCCCTGTTGGGGTTCACCAGCAATATTTATCTTGTTCTGATGCATGCTGGCTTGCCTGCAAGATCCATAGTGGTTAACTTTCTGTTTAAAATAGTGTTTCTTTCTGTGGAGGTGAAGACAACTGGCATGCTGGGCTGCAAATTATTTGGTGAGTCATCAGTTAATATACACATCCTGAATAAAAAAGCACTGCAGCTGCTAATTTCTGTTTACTGCTTGACAGTATGTACAAGAAGGGAAAAGGTAATTGGTATGTGTAGCCTTTTACTAGTTGGTTTATATATATAAATGGAAAATATGCATTAGGGCTTTGCGGGCTCCAAGCCTCTATTTGTGTGAACGTATGAGAAATGCACTGTGGGCTTTGTCTTTTTTCCTCTCCCACATCCATGGATGGGCCAAGAGGGTGGATCAGGAAGGATGTAGGACATTCCATTACGGAAAGAGATGATTTGGAAGACACTCATCGTGATTTGGTGTTAGTGTTTGTTTTTCTCTCCTTAAACATAATTTGCCCTGAGAGAGATAGGTTTTTTTAAAAAAATTCCTCTGGTCAGCTGTATAAGCAGATAAATGGAAATGGAATGAGATGTTCCATTATCAAAATAACTGACTTGACATAGACCTTAGGAGCGGAATTTGGCCGTTATTCTGATTATGCAGATACATTGGGATCAGTCATTGATGTGTCTGTTTATTTGCAGGGTTAATGCCTTCATGGATTATTTTTCAGCAGTTTCTGTAGTGATTTCAGGGGCATAATTTAGGGCACAATCTGAATGAAAGCGTGACCAAAGCCAGAGGACCTGTTCTTGCTTGTTGCAGAAACAGAAATCAGAGAACTTTTTCCACAGTTTATGGGCTTGGCTTTATCTTCCTCTCTTTTTGATACTGACTATGCCAGATTGCCAATGGGTTTTGTTGTTCACAGATTTCTGCCCATCGACAAGAAGTTCAGGGAGAATGTTCATTTTTTGGGGGATCATTGTAGTAATAATGAATAAGAAATTGTGCTCTTTCTGAGGGTAAAAAAGTGTGTGTGGGTCCATAAATATAGGTGTTTGAGAGGTTTTGTTGTTTTTTTTTTCCTGATCAAGAGAAAATTATTATTATTTGCAGTTCTGACTTGTTTAGCCTAGTTCTTGTGGCACAGTATAAGAGCCTTTCTCCTTTCAGCTGCCCCTAACCACGTTGTCTTAATGCTTGAAAGTGGGTTAGCAAATGTGTTTTCTTTTATATTATTCAGACAGGTGATGGGTTAAAGATCTGTGGGCGTATTCTAGCTCACTAGTTCCTGTATAAAGTATAACCGTGAGCTGCCCTCAGAATAAACCTGGGCTTGGCACAGATTTATGTTCTAAACATGATTACACGTAAATGTCAGATAAGTGGAAATACTCAGGAAAGTGGAAACATTCCAGTATTCTGCTATTTATGGCATCAAAACAGACATTCAAAAAGCATTAGTTACTCCTTTTCAACTACTGAAAAACCTTTGTATTTTTTAATTTAAAAATAAGGGCAAATGACCTTTAATTGCCCAGTTTATTGTTATGAAGACGCTTGGGTTTTTTCTTCACTTAGTGAACTTTGGGAAAAATCAAACACAGACAATTTCAGTAAAGGAAGATATAATTATTAGTTTGTACTTCAGCATTTTTCTTAGAGCGTCTCAAAGCACTCCACTGAAATCTGTGGTTAAAATCTCATGACACTCCTTTGTAACAGATGCAGCAAATAGGCTTGATAGGCCTGGAAACCTGAGGCAGAAAGAATGGCAGTAAGCTGGCCGAGTTCAGAAAGGAAGTCTGTGTTAGAACCGGGTTTAGAGCGCTGGTTTCCTGATGGCCAGGGCTGTACTCCAGCTGTCTAGAAGTTGCTTCCCCAGAAGTACAAATGACTGCTACAACTGCATTTAGCCTATCTCAAATTAAAAACTGAAAGAGAAGCTCTGGCAGATGATGCGTCACTACACTGGTGCCAGTGAAACTGTAGTTTATTGCTGCAAATTTATTATTACCTCCAACAGGACTTTGATTCCATAAAGTGATGACTGGATTATAAAGAGGTGCAATTATTGGATGCATGAGTATGCTAGAGGGAAAATTGCCTGTTTGACACTGGGAACGTGGTGCTTTGATGCCCACGGGTGAGTGCTGCAGGACACTTTGTACTCCTCTGATTGCACTGGGTTAAAATTACCGAGGAATGACACAACGGTATGCATGAGTTCACATCTTTCTTTGCAACCCTGAAATAAAAATAAGCATGTTAAGACTTTGGGTTTGGGTTTTTTTTTTTTTTAAGAGACCAGTGAATTGACATTGCATCATACCCATACAAACAGACTTTATTAGTCAACGACTTCTTTGGTTTTCTTTTGAGTAGAAATATAAGGTGTAGAGATACCTCTTTCAATTTAGGGCTTATGTTCAGCTGCAGATAATGCAGAGTAAGTCCTATGTGTATGGTGCGTTTATTTCCTCTAAATTAATGTGCTTTGAGCAAAGTGTGTGTATGGGGTGGGGACCACTAAAACAAGGACTTAAAGACCTTTGATGAAGTTGCAGTTTTTACATGGAGCGATACTTTGTGCATACAGCGCTATTTTTATGTTTGTTTCTGTTGGTCTTTGTAAAAATATATTTTTATACCAGTTTGAAAATACTAAGTTGTCTCTTCATATTTGGGAATTACTCAGGGTTAACAAGATTTTCTTAAAGAATTTTTTTTTAATTACATTTGCTGGCAGATATATAACAAGCAAACGGCAAGGAGGTCATAAAGGGCCTAGGGTAGAGCTTAGGCAGTAAACAGATGCATTAGGGTAAGATTTAAGAAATTAGGTTTCCCTGTAAATCTTTGTTTCGTCGCTTGCAGTTTTTATCACTGGCCCAACACCTGGGGTTAGAGGTGATGCACTTTGATTTTAGCAACCTGCTGAATTTATTTTAATGGCCGATGAAGAGTGAGCATTTACTCCAAGGATGGCCCCTGTCCCTCAGCTCCCTGCGTACTGCATTTTAGATGTTTTGCATACTAATAAGGGTAGGCATTTGGGTTTACATGCTCGTATCATCAGGCTGGATTACAGGACCAGAAGGAAATCTCTGGCTCACCGACATCTCGTCCCAGTCTCATCCCTGTTCTGTACAAATGCACGGTAGTATTTGCCTGCGGGTAGCGAGAGGGCAAAGCCAGACAACGCTGGTGTGGATATGGTGAAAAAAGAACATGTCGCTTCTGGCTGTGGATATCCTAAAAGCAAGACTGAGGTGTGTAGAGTGGTGATTTCCATGTCCCACGGCAGGGGCTGAGATCTCCCTTCTGCACGGTGGTTGTGTGGTTCCCTGTTTGGGGTGGGTCCTGCTGCAAAGGCCAGAAATGTTCCTGTCCAGAAGCTGCTATTACTGCGCATAGGCCTCCACCCACCAATTCTCCACCACCCTACCTGAGGCCTAGGGCCCTTCGCCTTCCCGCGTACGCTGTAGTTACTGCAAACGCAGGAGAGGGGATCCGCGGCGGTCGTGGCTCCCTCCCGGCCGGCTGTGCTGGGGCTCGAACCCGCAGCCTGGCTAAGTGCGATTGATGGGGGAAAGAACCAATGGCCGCCTTGGAGCCCCCTAGCAACTGATCCGCTGTGTCCCGCTGGGAACACGAGGAAGGGGGCGGTCGAGGGTTGCCTTCCCCCAATGGAATCTGAGGAGGGCGGGGCTAATGCTCTTGGTACACCAATAGGCGAACGCGGGGGGTCGCTACCTCACAGGAGTGGGGGCGGGGCTTCCACCTCGGTGTGTCAATGAATGCCAAGGAGGGCGGGGCGGAAACGAACCGCCCAATAGTGGGGCTCGGGGGCGGGGCCCGGCGTTCTGTCAGAGCGGCGCGGCGGC